CTAGGAATGGCGCAGGGCTCAAACTAGGAGTATAGAACAGCGAGGGGGGGGCAGTGATGGAGGGTGAATGTGGCTTAGGGAGTCTCCGCGCCCGGGCGCAGACAGCTGCACTATAGACTTACCCCAAGAGGCCTGAGGATAGTCTATAAACACATTTTTAAAACAAATTCCTTCTGGCTGTGGTGACAAACCTGTCAGTCCTCAGTTCTTAATTCATTCTGGATCCCACACCTACTGAACTAAAGCAGTTCAGACTGACCAGTAGTGACCTTCCGTGAGACTCATTTTATAAGAAGTATAATAGAGGTAGTTTTTCCATTGGTTTTCCATCCTTTTTACACTATACATATTACGAGCATATGTTCTACCATCAGATAACATAGTACAGACTCTCTTCATGTATGATATGAGCTTCAGACTTACTTGTCCTGTTGACTTTTCCATCCTCTGTGTTTCCATAGAAACACAGTATTCTATGCCTGAAGCATTAAAAAGTTTAAGGCAAACTTCACGTTTTCTTCATAACTGTCATAAAACCCAAGTCAAACAGAATATAGACATAATGTAAAATAACCCATTCTTCCTGATTTTTATTCTTTAGTAACATTTGTCACTAGTGGTCAAAGTGTGTCATCAGGACACAGTCAATTTGAGCTTTTAAATATTTAATGCAGGATGAACTTCCTCTCTAAGGCTATTCCCCTGACTCATGCCATGGTGATCTTTTACTGGAGCTATCACAGCCCTCATGACAAGTCTTGCCATACCTTTCTTCTTTTCCTCCAGTATGTTGAGCCAATATATTCTTTTTGAAATACAAAGTTTACTGCTTTTAGGATAAAAGCTAGAATTCTTCAGGTGGCCTTTAAGATCTACGTAGTCTGGCTTCTGCCAGCTTTTTCACTCTGTCTTGGAAAATAATCTGTTTCTACCCTGTTTGTCTTTGTTCACAATGTGCTTTACTTCTCTGTACCACTTCACCCTTTGAGCAATGATTTCAGCCCTTCCTGTAGTCTTTATTCAGTCATGTTTTAGAAAAATCTCATTTCCTTTAGTGAGTCAGTTTTATGTTACATATTTCTGTAACTTCTGTATACAGAATAATTATAATTATCACCGGTGATTCTTCAGTGTATGTGTACTATGTGTGTTTTCTGTCATTATGAGACCAAGGATGATGTCTCTCTTTGCTAATTGTTACACACTGATGCTTAGAATGGTTCCTAGGATGTGGTAGGCATTTAATAAATGTTTGGTGAATGACTGAATGAATAAATGAATTAAACTGTTACTCTTTTACAACTAAAATAACATTTGTTTATAATGAATGAATTTTATTGGGTAGATCTATTAAATTCAAAAGTATAAAAATTAATTTTTAGATTTATACTATTTTACATTTTTAATTCACTTTATCTGTAAATTTTTATTGCATTTTTGCATATTTCATATAGAACATCTTCATCAGTCTTAATCGTCTTTATACTCCCTTTCCTCATTGTCACCTTCCCATAGTCCCCACCCCACTGGAACATTCATACACTCTTTTGTGTTAAGGTCTACTGAGTCGTTAATGTCCTCAGACATCCCTCAGTGCAAGTTCATCCTTTGGGGCCTAGGCAGCCTAAAACACTATTTTACATTTTAAATACTAACAGTATAAGTTGAAATTTTAATTTTATTAAGTTCCAGTCGGTCATGGAACTCAGAAAATATTAAGGTGCTGTGGTATCATAGTTGATCACTAGAGTGTGCTATAGCATCAGGACCCTCAGTTGTGAAATATGTGCACTATTGTACTGCTTTGGAAGTTTGAGCTGAGTGTGTTGTGATCTTCCATACTTCAAGTCTAATCATTTTAGCTCTCAGTGTGTTTTATATGCCGGCCCTACTGTTTCTAACTTTTTTCCTCAGTCTGTTCATTTTTTTAAAATTAAAGAGAGCAGCCTACTTTAAGCCATTGTAGTCTTTTAGAAGTTTGTGTTTGTTCAGCCAAAATCCTATCTCACAAGATAGCTACTTTCTTCAACCTTGATGTTATTTCCCTGGTGAAGCCAGTAATATGTATGTGTTGCAGGTTCCCGGAGTCTAGAGGCCAGCAGTGGAGTCAGGTGAAGAAGGAGTTTATTTATGCCAGTGGGCTGACACCCGGATAACTCCATAATGGTGCCAGCCACAGCTCAAGTTTGTAGGGAAATTTATAGTCAACTCATATGTAGATGTTAAACAATGGGGGGGGGGTCAGAAACATGTATGTGGCAATTAAGCAAGCAAGTTACACATAAGCAGTTTGTTACAAAAGATCACAAGAATGTAGCAGTTTGGCAAATAGATTTCAGAGGTAGGTAAAGGTAATAAAGTGCAGGGGCAAAGGCAGATTCCTGCTTACCTTTGTCATTCTTTTCTTATTTCTTCCTATCTCATCTTGGGGACTTTGCACAAGCTTTAAGGTTCTTTGCAACCACTTCATTGTCAGCAGATTTCCACCACATACAGGCTTCTATATTATGTTAATTCTCCCGTGAATCCACAGCACTTTGTGCATATCTATATAGATAGTAGTTACAGTACTCATACATTGTTATTGCTTAAGTATAGTATTTTTTGAGAGGAGAGAATTAAGTTTTAGTTAACATGTTTATTACCATAATTCTGAGACATGCCCACTAACTAAGGAGTCAGGAATTCAATATTTTCTATTGCATTTTTATTTATTAATTGTGTGTGTGAGTACATATATGCCACTGTGCAATGGTGTACACGTGGAGACCAGGGGACAACTTGTACTCAGTTCTCTCCTCCTACCTAGTGGATCCCAGGGATTGAACATGTGTTGTCAGACTTGGTGGCAAGTACCTTTACCTGCTAGGTTATCTCACTAACCCAGAACATCAGTGTCTGTGGTCTTGTTCATTACTCTGTTCATTTAAGCTGTAGTTTGCTCATGGCTGAAATGGTAGCTGATTAATCTAGATAATCTCCAGGGAACTCTAGCTCTGAAATTCTGCAGTTTTGCCAATCACTATAATGCATTTTTTTTTCTCCCTTCCTCAGCAGCCATTGATTAGCTTGTCTCTTCATGTAGTGTAGGTCCTTGTGAAATTTCCCCCATCCACATTGGCATGTTACCTGGTAATGCCATTGTGCAGGTCTTGTTTAAGCAACCACATTGTTGCGATTCTCTGGAGCAGCTTCCCCATTATGCCCAGAGGACATTATCTTGCAACAGACGTCTTGCTCCTCTGGCTTTTAGAATCTTTGGGTTCTCTCTTCCATGGTTTTCCCTGAGCCTTAGTATAGGAGTTGCATTGTAGATGGATCAGTTGAGGCTGAGCACCCCATGGTCACTTATTCTCTGCATTTTGACCAGTTGTGGATCTCTGTAATTGCCTTTGTCAGTTGTGAAAAAAGCTTCTTTGATGAAAGGTCAGAAATACAGTTATCTGTGGAGGTAAGTATAGAATGTATTAGAAATAATACTGGTTTCAGAAAATGGCAGTAGTAGGTTCTCTTCCAGGTCTGTGATCTCTCCAGCCAAGGGTATTTGGCTAGGTTTACCTTAAGCAGGGCATGAGTTTCCTCTTATTGTCCAATCGGACCACTGTTGGTTGCCAACCCTAAACACATATAAATAGGTGTCACAGTAGATGGGCTCAGAAAGTTTTGTGTGTGTGTGTGTGTCTGTCTGTCTGTCTCTAATGTAACAGTACATGAATTTGAGAGGTGGGAAATGACAATGGAGGAATTGCTGGGAAGAGGGAGAGGTAGAAATGATGTAAATATAGTCATTGTGAAATTCTTAAAAAGGTAAAAATTTAAATTAATTTTTTCCTCCTTACCATAATGCTTCCTAACCTTAAGTATTCTTTTGTTATTACCTTCTTGAGTTCTTCTTGAGTTTCTTCTCCCTGAGACGATCACAAATTGTTAAAGCATTTTGATTTTTATACTTCCTAATAGTCAGTAGAACTGGGTTTGTCTACTGGGATCTTAAATGCCTTTGCTTTTGCTGTTTTGCCTTTTTCCTTTATCGGCTGACCAATGCATACAGATCATGTCTGATACTCCTGTCTATAATCTGTAGCTTATCAAAGTTTATTTTTAGTCATCCACAAAAATTGGCTGAATTAACTGCTTTCCATGTGTTTTACAACTGTTCTAACTAGTGGTTTTCATTCATGATATATTAACGCAAAGCATTCTTCACAGTCTTTAGTACTTATTGTGTATACTTGATTTCCATACATAATGACATATGCTTGTCATTAGAAAACGGCCATTTCTTACAATTTTTTCTCCTATGTTTTAACTCTCTTGTAGATTCTTTTGTTCACTTGTAATTTTAAAGCTAGGCTTAACTCCACACATTAATTTGTCTCCTGAGTCAGGAGCTTACAGCTCTTCTGTATCTATTAATAAGCAGATTTACCAATATTACTAAGAGCTTTAATCTCCAGTTTTGGAATTTATTTTACAGGTGCTCAACTCATGGAAGCCCAGGACTAGAAAACAACCTTATTTCTGATTTACCACTTCTAGACAGTCCCAAGTAAGTTTAATTAATTATCCATGGGCCTCAAAAGCTAAGCTGTGCTTAATTAACATTGAAAACCAATATACTGCTGGGTGAGACAAAGCTGTTCTTCTTAAAGGGAGGGACTCTCCATAGCCTGACTAGACCTCAGTGGATGACCTTGCACTGAGGGACATCTGGGAACACTAACTTGACACGATAGGCCTTAACACAGAATGTATGAATTCCCATGGGGTGGGGGGCTATGGGAGGGTACCAGGGGAGAAGAGGGTATAAAGATGGTAAGATTGGTTAAGATGTTCTATATGACATATACAAAAATTCAATACAAAATTTACCAAAAAAACCTGGGTAATAAGATGGTTGAAGGTAGAATGGATTATTTTGAATCTTCTTCAGAGTATGAATTCTTGATTTATATTAATTCTGTTCTGTCTTCACTTTCTAGAATTTTCTATTCTTTGTAACACTGATTTAAATAAAATTCTCCTTTTCTCTGTTTCTTGCCTCATCATTCTGTAACTTCTGTAAAAGTTCCAGGTCTCCTATGGTAGTCCCTTGGAGGGGAATGGCGCATAGCTTGCTGACGAGTGTTTCAGAGGAGACTGACATTGCAGAACGTTGGATATGAATAAACTCACTGTTGTTCTTACAGTCCCTGGCTGTCGTCTTCGTTGACTGCTTCTACCACAGCAGCTCCGGTCACCTTCGCATCAATTGTAGAAGAGGAGCTGCAGCAGGAAGCAGCTCTTATCAGAAGTCGGGAAAAACCCTTGGCCCTGATTCAGGTAAGTCATATGCCTACTAAGGTTTTACTTAGGCGAGAACTATACTACATTTCATCCTTAGGTCTTTCGGAGGGTTTTGTTGTTTGTTTTTTGGAATTATGGATGTGACTTGCCACACCCACTTCATCCTTAGGTCTGTAGAAAATTTTATTGGTTTGCTTTGAACAAGTGACTAGATCTACCAAATTAAAAGTTAAATGCATGTAAAACTATATTGAAACATTCATTAATTGAAGTAATTAATTGAAAGTATTCAGAATAATTAATTTACTACCAAATTATAATCAAATTTGTATTTTTTAAAGGAACCAATAAAAAACTAGGCGAGGTGGTGCACACCTTTAGTCCCAGCACTCAGGAGGCAGAGCCAGGTGGATCTCTGTGAGTTCAAGGCCAGCCTGGTATGCATAGTGAGCTCCAGGCCAGCTGAGGCTACAGGGAGACTCTGTCTCTAAAAACCACAAAACACAAAATAACAGTGTTCAGCAAAAGAGTAACCAATAAGAGGATTTGATAATATTTGGTGCCATTCTTCATTTCTAGGTCACTGAAAGTTCCTAGACTATAGAAGAGACGCTTTTTTTGACTAACTTTAGGAAAAGAGGATCTATTTGAGAAATGTTAAGATTTCACAGATATAACTGAATGATTAGGGAGCCAGGCTTGGCAAAAGTTGAGACGACAATAGAGAGTACAGAAGCCAAATGTGGATGTGGTACAGTAGTGGGAAGGGTCTCACAAGGCAGAGCTGCTAAAATAACGTATCCCAGCAGTTCTGTGTCTTTTCCTTCAGTCTAGATTCAAACTGGGGCTGGGGGAATGCTTAGTGCTTAAAAGCACATGCTCCTCTTCCAGAGGACCTAGGATCAGTTCCCAGCACCCATACTAGGTAGTTAAAAGTTGTCTATAACTCTAGATCTAGGGCATCCAGTCCCTTCTTCTGGCCTCCAAGGGCACTGCATGCACACACTGCACATATATACACTCAGGCACAAATATATACACATAAAATATTTTTAAAATTGTTTGAGATATTCTATCTAAAATACAAAAAAATTCAATAGAATTAAAAAAAAACAGTAAAGAAATGAATTTAAAAAGGAAGAGATTCAAATTGAAGGGTGAAAGAATATTTGGTTATTGTAGGCAGATCTCAAGGCTCTTGCCAAGGAACTGACAAGGAATCTGATTTGACTGTGCCATGTTACACCTGTGAGTTAGGCCTCAGTTCCTCAGAAGGGAACTTGGAAAACTAATATGCCCTGCTAAGATACTTACTTAAACGGATAAAGCAAAAAAGTCTTGGTTTCCTTCCTGTCTTTCAGGTTGAGGAACATGCCATACAAGATTTGCTGGTTTTCTATGAGGCGCTTGGCAACCCGGATGAGTTTGTCATCGTGGAAAGGACACCACAGGGGCCACTGGCAGTGCCTATGTGGAACAAACACGGATGCTAGTTCCCATGGCATGAAGATGCACTTCCACAATTGTGGTCACTATGCCAGCATGAAGAAAAGCTGTGGACAGAGTTTCTTCGGTTTGGTAGCACGTCATTCTAGCCAGAACAAGAATGGATTTCATTTCCTTATGTACTTTATGATGTTTGTATGACTCGAGAGATTTATCAGAACTGTGATTTTAGTAACTTTTATGTGATATGTGTCAGAAGAAAACTTGGGCTAAGATTAAATAGGATTGTTTCTTCTGAATAATCTTGCAAAGGAAAATATGGGTGAAATGTAAAATTGAGGAATGATTCATTAAAAATAACTTTTTGTTTGAGACTTTGAGGTGATGTAGAACCATTTGCCATGTACTATTGCTTTTTAATAATGGCCTTGGTGAGCTTTGAACAGGAGCCCCAGCCATTACCACCCACTAATGCCGTAATAGCTGTCTCTCTTGATCATTCTTAACCAGGCTTTTAATGTCGTGAACGCTTTAAGTTGAACCTGATGAATAGTTTTTCCTAACTGTTCTGAACAGTGGAGTCCAAGATCATAGCTTCCTTATAAGACTTGGAGTCTAGAGTCGTGAATTTTTTTTTTTTTTTTGAGTGGGGAGGGTTTGGCAAGTGAGGACGTATGAAAACCTAATTGTGAAAGAATCAGTTTCTTAAAGTGTTAACAGTTTTCTAAAACAAAAAATTATACATACGAGAATTGAATAGTTTCAAAGATGGGTTGGCTTATAGTTACCTGTATAATATTGTGTAATAAGTTCTGTGAGCCTGGATTATATATATGTGTCAAATTTTGATTATTTTCTTTACAGTATGCTGTTTGGTTTGTTTTTGAATGTTTAAAATGAAAAAGAAAACAAATACTAAAATCTGAGCTTGATATTGGGAAAGTTAATGCTCTAGTTCTAGAAAAGAAACCCAGGGGAACATTCAGCACTTCTCTGCTAAACGTCAGTTTGGGAAAGTAGCTGATGCTAATTCAAGATTTCAGCTTAGCTCCACCAAGAAGCAGCAAACTTGTAAGCAAATGTGCAATACAAATAATCTTGATCCATTTCACTACTAGTGTGTGCTTGGTGTCTTGTATAGTAGTGGGTTGACACTTTTTGCTACAGTGCTGCAGTGATAGCCAGTGCTTGTGCTTACATTGCTAAAACGGCAAAGTTCTATGTGTTTGAGTAAATTGAGAAAAAATGAATTTTTTAATATCTACTTTTTAATATTTTATCTGTTATTTTTATTTTATGTTTATGAGTTTATTGCCTGCATGTAGGTAAGTGCACCTGTGTCATGCAATGCCCACGGAGAACAGAAGAGGCCATCAGATCCCTGGAACTGGCGTTACGGACAGTTGTTAGCTATCATGTGGGTGCTGGGATTCGAACCCGAGTCTTCTGCAAGAACAACCAATGTTCTCAACTGCTGAGCCATCTCTCCGGCCCTGAGAAAAAATGAAATTTACAGTGTTTTCTTGATGTTGCTGTAAAGAGGCCTCAGAAGTCATTGGTTTATTTCATTGGAAGCTTTGGTAGATACTGTGAACTTCCCCGTCTTTAACCTTTAGAGACACTGTAAACGATGGTTGTCTTGTCCTCTGTGTTGCTCGCAAAGCACCCTCAGGAGTCCTTGTTGAAGGGGGAGGACATGAAGGAAGAGTCAGACTGAGTGTGAGCTCCTGTTCTTTACGAGCCATAACCAGATTGCTTGTACTTTATGGTCTCTTTTATATAGTGAGCTACTGTATAAAATTTCATCTGGAAAAAAGTATTTTTGTGAGGAAATCAAAGATAAGTCCTGGTGTGAGCTGTATTTCTTCATAAATGAGTCTGTGACGATAACAGCTGATACAGTTGCCTCTAAAACCAAGAGAATGGTGGGAGTTCTCCTAAGGGTAACCCACTTCCTGTAGTAACTTGTTCATCTCGAATCCCTAACCAAGTGAACGTAATAGAGCTCAGGAAGCTCTGAAGTCACCCATGTCCGTCATCTATGGTTGGAGACCCCTTTTCAGAGTCCCCTACACAGGGACCAGCTGGAGTCCAGAAAGGTAGTGGTTGGTGGAGTGTTGGGGCAAGGGGCTTTCAGAAGCAGAATGTGCTTAAAGTTGGCAAAATCAAGACAGGTGTGATTCGGATGAAGTCAAAATTGTTAAAACTCTGGGTTTAGGCCTCTTTAAGTTCTAAAGGCACGTCTTTAAGATGATGCAAGCCCTGCTTCATAGGGGAGCAGCGGCCTGCGTCCATGCAGAAGGTGTTTCCAGCAGCAGGTGGGCTGCTCCTCTGGCTCTTCTAGAGGGCAGGCTGAGACAGAGTCATAGCTGTTTTTAACTGTGAAGTGTAAAGAAGCCCTAAGGCAATTTGTTTATGAACCGAAGAAACTGAAGTCCACGGAGAATGACTAATGGGAACGAATCTGTCTTTTCAGTGTGGGTCCCCTCCACCTACAGTAGACTGCCTCTTTGAAGCCACCACTGTCTATGGCAATTTAGCCAGGCCAGGAAATAGTAAAACACACTTAATAACAATAACTGTAGCCCAGAGATTTCCAAATTTGTCAGTACAGAGATGTTTCCAGGAGAAAGTAGAGCCATGTTCAGTGAGGGTGTTGGGGGTGAGGGATCTGAGATATGATGAAGCCTGTGTGTCTTATTCTTAAGACGATGTGCCGTTATGTCAGCATAGCCACCTGGTGGCTCCTGTACACATCCACCCCGCTGTGTCTCAGCTCTTATGTACAGTGGTTCGTTTTCTTAAGTGTCTCTGTGGTTCCCTGGCCAGCATTTCACACTGTTGTCTCCTTATGTCTTAGACATATTTCCAGACCACACAGGTGAACTTTGGGTTGTTATTTGCCTTTTTCTCATTCCTCCCACATACACACATTTATTGATTACAGTGTCTGTAATTTCCATCTCTTCCATATCTTCTGTTTAATCGTTCCCATATTATTCTTACTACTATGCTATGTGTTATGTCCTTTTACAAAACCTCTCAAACTTTTTGGTGTCAGGATCCCTTTGTTCTCTTAAAAATTATTGAGCACTAGGGGTTGGGGATTTAGCTCAGTGGTAGAGCGCTTGCCTAACAAGTGCAAGGCCCTGGGTTCGGTCCTCAGCTCTGAAAAAAAAAAAAGACAAAATAACAAAAATTATTGAGCACTTAAGATTACATCTACCTATATTGACTGTATTTGGAATTAAAACACCTGAAAGTAACTCACTTAAAGATGATCAACAGGTACATGGATTAACATTTTAGGCGTAGTAAATATTTTACAAAAATACCCATAATAGTGGAGCAAAATTTTTCCTGATACTCCCCTCAAACCTCAAACTTTGTTCATGTCAACCTTTGCCTGAATTTCTTTCTCTTGAAATCGTACTCTCCACTTTAAGGCACTTCAGGTTTTTCTCGGTGTTCCCTATAACCCTTCAAGACAATGGAGTGAAGCACTGTAGCTTGTTCTCACTTGCTCAGAACATTTTATGCCTTTTTGAGGGTACTTGTCATATTCTGCCATTATTTTTGGTTACCTTTTTTTGTCTTTTTCTTAATTACTTTAACTTAAAGGACATTGGCATTCTTTCGTGTGCGTGTATGTGTGTGTGTGTGAGTGTGTGTGTGTGTGCACGCGTGCTTAAATCTTAAATTTTTGAGCCATAACACAAGTAAGCATAGGGCAAAAATACTCAGCTCAGTGATCCACCACTGGAGAAGTAGCAGTTGGCAGCGCCTCAGAGGGGCCCTGATTGGCTGGTATTGCATTGACCGTTTTGCCTGTTTGTGGGACACTGGGTAACGATTTTTCTTTTGCTGTCTTTATCTGACTTCGGTAGCCTTGTGAGGCTTGCCCTGTAGAATGACTAGGGAAATAGCTTCTGGAAGTGCTTGTTAATAATTGATATGGCTTCTTATTTAAATATGAATAGAATTTACAAATGAAAACGTAAGCATGTGCCTTTGTGGAAAAATTTCAATGACTCAATTCTTTCTGTCTGTTCATATGTTATAGATCTGTTGAGACTGTCTCTGTTTTCTTGAGTTTTAACAATATGTATCTCTCTAAGAATCCGTCCATTCACATTAGTTGTTTGTCAGCATAAAGTTGCAGAATTTCCAGCACCTGTAACTCCAGCACCAGGACATCTGATACCCTCATCCGGCGTCAAGGCACCCACACTCATGTGCACATACACACACGTACACATATAAAATAAATGTATTGATGCGTTTTATGATTTAGCATGCTCTGTCCTGGAGACTATTCCATGTGTGCATGAGAAGAATATTGTAAGAAATAGTAGCTAAAGACCTGCGTGTTTCCTGTCCTGAGGACAAGACGGTGCAGTGCTAAGGAACAAGAGGAGTGGACAGGGTAGCTCTCAGATCCATTCGCTGTGCTATTGTGTCTGTCTTGTGAGGATAATTATAGTACTCCACTAGCCATCTCGTCTTTCTGATTCCAGGTTAATTTGACCATTTTGAGGATTAGCAAAATATTGGAATATTAGCACAAGGACAGGATAAAAGCAGGTTTTTCCTCTATCATTCCTACCTTCCTGATGTAGCTGGCTGTCACACTGGTGGGAAGGTCACAGCCCTTATGAGATGGCTCTTGCATGGTACTCCACAGGGTGTGTAATGTCATTCCAGGCCCCCATTCAGACCCGACGTGGCCGAGGCTGTCCTGTTGGTTCAAGTCCAGCTTACAGTTCCCCTCTTGGTTCTGCCTATCCTGCCCACACTTCATAGACTTACACTTTGCTTGGGTCAGGAATGCTGTGCATTCCTGCAAGAAGTCATAACTGATCCAAAGATGATCAAAGTATTAAAGAGAAGGAAGGAAGGAAGGAAGGAAGGAAGGAAGGAAGGAGGGAGGGAGAAAAAAGAAAGGAAGGAAGGAAGGAAGAAGGAAAGGAAGAAAGGAAGGAATGAAGGAAGGAAAGAAAGAAAGAAAGAAAAAGAAAGAAAGAAAGAAAGAAAGAAAGAAAGAAAAAAAAAAGGCTAGTTTATGTAGAACTTTAGCACTGAGCTGAATGAGTGTCACGAATGGCAGATAAATGTGCACTTTAAAAAGTAAAAAATAAAGTGAAGGCCTTTGCGTCCAGACGGCAGGAAGTGGGGAGTCCAGGCATGTGGAAAGATGGAAATGGAAGCTCATGGCATAATGGGTGATAGGCAACGAAGAGAACAAAGGCAACTTGTTATAAAGTAGAGAAAAGCTACCTATTTTTCTTCAAGAGAGGCAGTGAAATTGAGGATGATCATACATAAGTGGTTCTCAAACTTTGGCTCCCAGATAAGATGCATCAGCCTCACTAGGAAATTTATGAGAAACACTTCATAGTTCTAACCCATCGGAACCTTTTGGAGTGATGCCTAGACATCTGTTTTCACAAGCTTTCCCAGATGATTCCAGTGAATGCTAATGGAGATGACTGGAGGTGAAGGAAAAGCCAGGTGTGCACACAAGTTAGTGGTTTTCCAAAGTGTAGTGGGGCTTGGTAATGAAGCAGTGGGAAACATTTGCCACACAATTTTTAAAGACTCATGTTCTGTTTGTTATGAAATAGGGAGGGATTTTCATTAACTGGTAGTGAGAAGCGGATGTTTGTAAATAGCTTGTTTTTTTATTTTTGAATTTTAAATACTCGGTAAAGCCTAAAGTGATTCTGAATTTTCCTTGAGTGCCTTAAAGTTCAGTAATCTTATTTATAATTCACTTTACAAAAGCAAAAGGTTCTTTCAGTTTCATTACTGTTATAAAATAAAAATTAAGTGGCTCAGACTAAGAATGTATGGGAGAAACTGTGGGGACAATCTCATTTTTATATACTCAGGACAAACCAGCTGCCATGTAATCGGGTGCTTTGCTGTCAGTCTTTCCTTCACCCATACGTCATACACTGAACTATGTGTATGTCTTTTAGATCTCATATCTAGTCTAAAGATTGTCTGGAAGTTTGAGTTTATTTGCATAGAAAATGAACTGAATTCATTTTTAAATTCTTTTTGAATATGAGTTTATAATAACTCAAATATTAAGTGCTTATAATGTTC